TATATGATATATAGAGATGATCAGCCACTGCAGGTCGTCAAAGAACAAGGAGAATAAGAGATGCAGCGAAGGCCAGGAACGTCACTTTGCCATTGTTTCCTAGCACTGCTTATGATGAAGGTACACAAGGCAGCGGCTTGAAACCGGCCGGTGCGGTGGATGACTTATAAAGCGACCACGTCAGGCTCAAGTTATCCGTCGCCTGTGTTTGCGGCGAAGATTATGTTACTATTGTGTTCGGCTGTGTATGCGTATGAATCAACCCAGCCGAATAGTGGTCGCCCAGACGCCTACACCCATCGGATTGTCACCCGCAGTCTGTCGTTGTAATGAACGATCGAGCCTGGACAGATGGATTTTTTCAACAGCCGTGACTCAGCCACAACCCCGCCATAGCGCTAGATGCGAAATGCCGGGAATGTCGACCCGTTCCAAATCTGTCATCAAGTGTAAAGCTTCTTATCAAAGAGGGGACGCACCCATTGGACGAAAAAGGTGCACGGCGATGATCGTGGACTCCAGATCGAATATTAAAGGATAAAAAAGAGTCTACTATTGGAATCGTCATCCATTAGAGAAATTCCCTCCTCTTACCTGTAGAATAGATCCTCCAGTATTTGAATCATGGAACGTCAGATTCATAATTGATGAATTTTAGGTTCGAGCATCAATTGGTTCACTCACCTGGCATTCTTTTGTGACGGTTAACTGAGTACCACTCAGTAGACAAGGAATCAAGACGATGAATTCTGTGCTTGTCACATATCTGTAGAGACTTACATCAAATTAAAGCACTCTTAGACCATGCTGAAGAACTGGAGATCACCGTTGCACCGTAAGCGCTATGGAAAAACTCGTGTCTAGCTTACGGAATCGCAAGGGAGAGCGACATCCTTAAGATTTCTAACTTCCTTTTTTCTTCCATGCATAAGATGAAAGAAGAAGACCCACGCAATATCGGGCGAACAACATAAAAATGAATAGAACTGAGCCTTACTTGCCTGATAATGATGGCGTTGATGGCCAAAATCGAATTCTAAAAATCTACTTGAGGAAGTGCTGCAGTCGTTTAGAAATATTTCCTTTGCCGATCCCGAAAGACGCACCTAAAAATAGGACTCAACCTGCCATCCAGTGGTTGTCATTAGCTAAAACATGTCGGTCATACGTGGACCTTAATTTACAATGACCTACACAATGATTGCATAGCGCATAAAGAAATCGCACGCCTGCTATGAAGCATCTTTTTATTCTTGCCGCCTGTCCTGTGAACAGGAGACCACGTTCTATGGCATTGTAATTCATCGAATATCGGTCAAGGTCTCTTGAAGGAAGACGTTATTTAGGCTCAACTTCGCTACAAGATTTTTAGCGATGATTCACGATGAATAATTGGCGTTTGATTTCAAAGCCAGTAGGTTCCATATCGTCATTTAGAGCGAACAAATTTTAAAATGTAGAAGGGCTGAAGATTATTAAGTTTGACCATTTGAAATGGCGTATCAGTTTTGTAAAGGTAACGTTTCTCGTTTCAAACATCGTTTATATCCCTCGTCTGCTTCCACGACCTGTTTTCAAAGTTTGCCTTATGCTGGAACAACGTCGTGAGGTTCTTGGGGGAACAACGTGAGCGATTCTCATGCAAGAAAAGTTTCGAACGTATCACACGTTTCGTTTCACAGTGCACTCATTCTTTCTGTAAGTATCATTGCACACGTTATAGTAGATGCTATCTGTTTCAGCAATTTTCGAGGGGAACGATTAACTTATTCTAAATTGCAGTTGGATTTCCCTCCTTCGATTCTTGGTCGACTGTTGGAACAGTAAAGAATTTTAAGATTCGTGGTTCAGGGCATCTAACCAAGCTGATTTCAATGCTGTCAAATCGATTGCATCATGTTGAACGTCTGCCTTGATGATGACACCGTTGTGGCAACCAAGCATATTACCAATCAGTGCTTGAACATGAGCTTTGCTTCGTGCCCCGAAATATGGATTAGCAAATGTTTTAAAGTTTTATTAATGTCAGGTAATTTATGAACACTGTGTAAGATATCTTAGAAAGTGACTATCGTTCAGTTCAGAACAAGATGCTACCCACTCGACAATTCGAACTTAGTGCCGTTTGAGTAAAGGAACTTGGTGCAGGATTTGTGCTTCCTTTCCAAGAAAATGCTGGCGCTGCCATTGCATCATTCGCTAATAACCTTAAACGCAGGAACGACGGTAAGGTAATTCGTTCGTGCGTTGGTGGTCATACCGAAAAAGTACAGTAAAACGGTTTATCTATGCAAACTCAAATCATACTGTGGTCTGTCCGGTGACTGACCAACCGAAATTTCAGCCCGAAAGCCCTTGTAGCTCCGAAATTATCGACTGCTGTGAACGACCGACCACATTCACGAATTTCGCCACAACCTATCTTTAAGAAGCCCTTGAGATACGGACTGAAACGTCGGTATTAGTCAGTCATCGAACTGTATGTTTTGCGTTGTGTATAAATAAACTGTATTTACCACTATTTTTTCATTGGCAACAACGGAGTTATACTGTCGAATTTTCAAGTATTTGACTGTCACAACAGATGTGCAGCAGAAATAATCAGTTGGAGTTAATCGCATAAGTCTCTCTTGTCTGTTAATTGTACCATGCTACGGTTTGCTCATCTATTATTCCTTCTAGAATCTTCCTTTTTTCTAATTAACTTTTCTCTTAACTCTTGTATCGACTCCTGCTGTAGGCTTGATTGCTGACTTGAATATGTGAAAGTGAAAGTTTACTACTTGAACAAGATCACAGTATCTTGTTTTTCAGCACAGATCCAAGAAAATGTGTGTTTGTACATCAAGTTATAAATATGCAAATGTCAGTGAGAGAAACAAGCGAAATGATGAGCAAAAATATGAGCAAGATAGTAATAGCTGATTTACTGTGCAAGAGCATAAGATCAAAGAACCAGGGCTGCGAATGAGCCCAGATATATGCCGTCAGCTCGAACCGATATTTGAACGGTAAAATACGACATCCAAAAATATGTGGTTTAGCCAATGACTCGAAGCAATGACAAAGAAGTGGTGCGGACTTCAAGTAATTAAAATTGAGCTTCTCCACTAGAGGTTGATTATTGAGGTCAAAGAATTGAGTTAGTCAAATATGCGAATCCCTTTGACATCAATCGTCTTCATTTTTGTCGAATTAAACGCAAGTTGCTATTCTTCACTCGATACGGCTTCAGTAAAGCCTCTTCATGAACTGACTACTGAGCAGTGGTAGAGAAGCTGTTGTCACAGTCTAATGGATCAGACAATCCATTGCATTCGTTAATTGACTGTGTGGTAAGACGAAGCTCAGCACTTTACACTGTCTGAGAGCTTCTCGGGTAGACGGAGGCGGAGCTGCCACAGTCCATCGTGCTACATATGGAATCCACTGCTAAATGACAGGCAGTTGAGACGTCCTGCTGCACAGTGGACGGATCTGTCCATCGAACATTTGCGATATGGGGACGTGTGCAAACAGAGGAAGTGCCTCGATGCTTTTGAACCTTTACCATAATAATGCCAGTACTGCAGTATTGCCTCGTCCTATACAATCGATGAAGATTAATCTTCAGTGCTAAACCGTGGTATTATTTTAAGGGACTGTTTGTTCTGTGCCTTTTTGTTGTCAGAATTTCATTCTGTGACAAGGTTCTGCCCCTCAGGAACGTGGCATCCATCAGCTCGGTTTCTCCATCAATTGTTTTCCAAGATTTCTCCTGCAAAGCAAGGCAGATACTATCTTACACCTTGAACGGGGGCGTGGCTTGTCGTTGGCCTGATAGCCTATTGTGACAGTTTAGCATTACAGGAGCAGATCGCCTTTATGTTGATTCTGTGTGAACAATTTGTTCACTGTTAAACGCATTACTTTTGCTTAATCTCAATATCCGTTTGCTGTGTCGTATAATTTGTCGCCACAACTTTGAATAACTTTATTTTAGCATTTACTTACATCTGAACCAAGGCCTTTTGACTTGCCGCTGGTGGTTACTGAAATCTACATGATATCTGCCAGTTAAGCAATGAATATATTCATCGTCGTTTCCTTTCTTTTAAGATTGACGATTTGGTACTTCATTTGTGCGTTGATGGTCATACCAAAATCAACACAAAACACAGTGTATTTATGCACAACGCCAACAGTATGGTCAATTAGCAGATAACTGACCCGTACCTACGCTTCGGGCTATGTCCAACGAACCAGGGATTAATTTAATTGTTGACCACATACATTCGAATTGATACATTTGAATCCAGATGGCGATCTGTTGATCCATATTTCCAGTTAACTAGTTTCTTGGCGACAAGGGAGATAGAGCTTTTATTGCATCTTCTGTTAAGATTGGCGTCGTTCATTTCTGTGGGTGTTTTTATTTTTTCAACGGGAACCTGTTCGTGATCGAGAGAAGAACTCAGAGCGTCTTTTCTTCCATAGCTCGTTGTTGAACTTTAATCAGTTTTTCCCTTTGCTTCGGCAAAGTCAAGGCCTTGCAATTGTATACATACTTTTTTGCGAAACCATGCTTCCCACAATGCGGTTTTGCTGCCATTGGCAGTTTCTTGCTTCCAAGGATGTCGAAGTTTTTATGTTGAAATTCTACGAAGCAGAACGCTTTCTAACGAACCGTGGAAACCGTGCTGCAGCACTTCTATTTCCTGACTGTTCAGAAATTGTCATGCCGCTATGACCTTCCTGACCAAACAGATCAATCAGCCACGAGGTACTTTCACAGAATGAGTCATAAAACCTGAGAAAATTTTGTGCATGATTTATTAGAGTTGATGTCAGAACAGCAAGAGGGATCGGAGAAAAAGGGTCGGTTGGCTCGCGCGCGCGTTCCGTTACGTCGAACACTTTCTGTCAGACAACATCGGAAACGAAACCTGCACCAACCTCTTCATTTCTGCCGTCCTGCGGTGAAACGTGGTCGCTGACGAAAGCCGAAGAGTGACAGTTCCCTGTCCCCGTTAGAGCTTTGGAATGAATAATATTAGGGATCTCTTTTCAATCCCGGAGTGCAGGACGT